GTCTCAAGAATCGTTCCTTGAAATGCATCAAGTTTTCCGTTGTTCCTTGCTTCATAGCAAAGAACTTTTGATTCGCTTCCCAGAAATCCAAGAAATCATACTCAGCATCAGCACTCTTCTTCATGAAATGTTCAATACGTTTCAAGAGTTCGATTGGATCTTCAAGAGTAGCTGTGAAATCGGCTTCACCTTGAAGCTTGATATCCATCACCTTCGTCACAAACTTCAGCATGATGTTTGATTTGACGGATCTCTTGTTTGTCTTGAAGTATGCTGATCTTTGAGTTGGAGTGTTCAATCTTGGAGCGATTGCATTGAAGTCGATCGACTTTCCATCTCGAATTGATTTCACCATGTCTTCTGAACATTTCATTCCAGAAGCTTGGATATAGTCAATCACTCTTTCCTCGGCATCTTTGTACGACGATCTTGCCTTCCAATCGTTTTCATCTTTTGTTGAAAATAGATGTTTCACAACTGTTGAACTCGAGTTGCTCTTGACTTTCTGAGGAGTCACATGTCCTCTTCCTCCACCGGATGGAGAATGTCCCATTGTCAACAAATCACTCACTCCTTTGTAGATAAGGCAGTGCTGTTCTTGACATAAATTTGTTTTGTTGCCTTTTGTGATTGAATGTAAGAATAAAGCAAAATGTGCTCTATCGTGAGTGCCTTTAGCGCTCAGAACAAACTCTCTGCAATCTAAATTTGTAATCGACTGTACAACACTTTCATGATAATAGTTCTCCTGTGTCTAGGTATACTTTGAGTGAAATTGTTCCTATCTGATTAATGTTTGTCTTGGATTGATGATTCAATCACAAAAGTAAGTTCAACGATTTTCCCTTGAAAAATCCCTTGTTTACAGAACTTGATTCGACCTCTACGACAATTATGTGTTGGATGCATTACTTTGGGACATATTGTATTATTCCCTACTGCATTGTACACAACATCAATATCTCACTTGTATAGGGTCATTCCCTTTTTGTGTGGATTTAGTTTGTCCGACAGACTCGCCGTCCGGCATACTTGCGTCGAATCCCAACATCACGATTAAAGTCCGATCGTACGTGTTGAAAACTTTGTACTTGAATAGTTTCTTTTCGGAACGTAAAAACTTATATTTCGTCATATCCCAACAGGTTTAGTGTAACCAATACTCTAAGAGAGTTGCCGATAGTTTGATGCATCCGTTTGCAAACTGCATTTGCTTGAGGATTCTTGGCAGAGATAGAACGAGGTTCAATTCCGTGTAGATTCAAATGATTTTGAAAGTCGAATCCCGTGAATTTGGTTCCTTGGTCATGGATGATGGTTGCAGGGCGCGGGTAACCGGCGAGCCAAGCGTTTTCAAACTGAAGTGTTATGTTCGCACACGTTTTGTCCTTAATGCGCACAATATTGACCAAGTTGGTCACTAGGTCAATGATTGTCAAGGCTCTGAACTCGATCTCTTGTCCTGCCACCATGTGTGTCCAAGGACCGATGAGATCAACTGCGAGTTGTTGCCAGGGGATGAGTGGAGCTTCCTTAGGAGCAGTGTGGCCATGGCCTCTACCGACAGCCTTGTGTCGTTGACATGTGTCGCATTTTGAGGTAAAGTCTTTGATAACATTAGATAACTTTGGATTGTGAAAATGGATGCGCATGGTATCCTTGAGGCGCGTGGAGCCCGGGTGGCTGAGAGCAGCGTGATACCATTGGATGGTGGGTTGTAATAATTGTGTTGGGAGATAGATCTTCAATGGAGAATTGGCATCTCTCACATAACAATACACCTGGGTGTCTTGTGCAAAGGTATGTTGGACATACTGTTGAGGTTTGGTTTGCGTCAGCTTGGTAAGCTCAGCGTCCTGAGTTTGAGCATCAGCGATAGACTTGAAATCAAGAACAAAAGGTAAGCTATCCTGAACGGGCAGGTGAACAAAGCAATTGAGTAATTGCGAATCAGTGGCCATAGAATAAAATGAATTTTGAGTATTATGGGATGATATGTTAGCATTGGATGCTGTGGTTCTGTTATCATTTGATGATAGGTCAACATTGGATGTGGTTTCAATGAGAGGGGCATACTCTTGGTAGGCTCCAATTGGTCGACAATATAAGTCAATGGGATCCTTAGGGTTGTCATTCTGCCACCGAGGCGGTGTCATAGTTAGGCGAGAAAATTGGATGGAAATCTTTGAGGAATAGGCGCCAGCGTAGGACGCGTTGGCTTTGGAGATTCTGGAAGGTCAGATTTTTGTGGTCAGTGTAGACATGTAGTTCCTTGACACCATACAGCATGGTGCAATACTCTTTGAGAGTTTCCACAATGGAGAGAATTTCTTTTTCTCCAACAGTGTAGTTCAACTGTGCTTTAGAAAGCTTACGAGAGTAATAGGCAACAGGTTTGCCGTTCTGAAAAAAAGCGGCACCCAGTTGATAGTCGCTAGCGTCACAGTAGACGTGAAAAGGTTGATTATGGTCTGGATAGGCCAGAAATGCATCCTTTGAGAGTACAGCTTTGATGCGGTCAAAGGCCTTTTGACATTCGGGTGTCCAATCTAATTTCTTCTTGTTGTGTCCAATACGTGCAGTCAAAGGCGCGAGAATGTGTGAACGTTTTGGAAACATGTCATGGTAAAAGGTTACTGCGCCAATAAAGGAACGGAGTTCTAAGACAGACTTGGGAGGTTTGAGTCTGAGGATTGCGTCGATCTTCTTTTTCCAGGGTTTGATTCTAGTAGACGTGAGCCAATAACCAAGCCAATCAGTTTCTTGCACACAAAATTCACATTTCAGCGGATTGCAGGTAAAAGCATGATCTTGCAAGATTCGCAAGATTTTTCTGAGGCTGTCCATGTGCGAGTTCCAATTGTTGGAAAAGATTCCAACATCGTCAATGTAGACGTCTGCTTCTTTGAAGTCAGCAAGGAGCTGTTCAATGTGTGCTTGAGCAATGTCAGGAGATTGTTTGACGCCCATAGGAAGACGCGTGTAACGATAGTTGCCGAAGGGTGTGACAATGCCACAAAGGTCCTTCGACGCTTCGTCCATTTCAAATGTGTAGAAAAACATCGAAAGGTCAAGCTTTGTGAAATACTTGTAGCCATTTCGTTTCTTTAGAATATCTTGTATTCTTGGCAGTAGCCAAACCTTGCGTTTAATCATCTTGTTTAGTTGCCAAAAGTCGGAAACAAATCTAACTCTACCATCCTTTTTCGGAACAATAAAGGTGGGAGATAAGTAGTCCATTGGACCGCATTTCTCCAAAATACCCCATTGGACCATTTTATCAATAGTTTTCTTGAAGACAGCTTCATGACTCTTGGGGACCGAATATGGACGGTTCTGAAATGGTTTTGCTTTGGGAGTAAGTTCGAGGCGTGCTTTAGGACCTTTGAAAGGGCCAAGTTTGCCGGAACGATCGAGGTTACCGTTGAACCAGGGTTCAAAGTCTTTTATAACATTGTAAAGATCGTTTTGTTGTTTACCATTTAGATGGTGTTGTTGCTTGGCAACATGTTCCAAGGAAACTAAATCATATTTGGATTCTGCAATGTTAAAGGAATGAGATATCTGTTGCTCAATGTGTTCATTGAGACTTTCATCAGGGTCTGAGTGATAGCAATGGATTGCCATCAATTGCGCCATCAACATGGATGTATCTTCGTTTGGATCAGTAGTTTGAGGACTGAGGCCAGATTCGGGCGGCTTATAAGGAACGTGTTTGTCCATCCATTTGATTGTTTTAGTAGATCCGCTACAATCGATTCCAAGGGGAAGTAAAATATTATTTCCAAAAATCATATCGTACCTTGCGTCTGAATCAAAAACAATTGTTTCAAACGTGGATTCCACTTTTTGCGTGGGAGAAAATTCAGGGAAAACGATTCCCTCAATGTTTATGACTTGCGTGGTCAAAGATTGTTTGCCGCTTATCGTTCCAATTTGTTTCTTCACGGTTTTTCCATTGATTCCAGCGGGCAAAATTCTATGATGGATGTAAGATTCATCTGATCCAGGATCAAACAACACATGTGCAAGTTTGTTGACACGAGTTTTTTGCATCATCTTTATAACAGAACCAGATTCTGGTCCAAGCAATAAGTTTAATTCTTTACTAATGTCTACTTTCTCACTGATAGTCTCGGGGACTTCTGCACCGTTTTCGTAGGCGTCTTTACGTTTGACATATATGATAACCTAAGATCGTCTAGAACATTTGAATCAACAATGTTGTTCAGGCTGTCGAAGCGACAGAAATCAATGTGGTGAGAGAAAATTGGGACATAGTATGATTCATTGTTCATGTAGAACGCACCATTCTTGTTGGATGAGCCGGTCTCTTTAGAGGTGGTCGAATCCTCATCCGGCTTATCTCAAGGGAGATTGATGACAGCAAAGCTGTTGGACTTCTTGTTGCTCATTCGGGCCTTGTAGTTGTTGATTGCCTTGCACTTGGAGATAGTGTGATTCTTATGATTGGGCTTGAGCGAGCAAATTTCGGTTGGCTTGGCTGTCTTTGCAAGTTCTGCCACGCGCTTGTGGTACTCGTCTTTGTCCATCTTGTTTCCCTCTGGGTCGGTACGAGATTTCTTGAAAGGTTTTGAATCATCCCTGTGATGGACACCAGCCGTGCGTTTCTTCTTTTTGGATTCGATCTTCTGGTGGAGTTGATTCTTCAATTCCTTGTCGTGTGCTTGTCGAGACTTGTGTTGCATGTAGGAAGTGATGCTGGCAACGGAATGGCTGTCGATGGTACCGTTGATCTCCAGGAAGGCGTCCTTCCAAGGCTTGGGGTGAGCATTGAAGAAAACTCCCTTGAATTCTGCTTTGTCAAGAGGGTCAAGAGTTTCAGACATGTAAGGGATTGCAGAGTTTACCTTCTTCATGTACATTTGATTGTCCATGATTGTTGCCGATCTTGGCTTTCTCCAGGTACGGAGCTGATTTAAAACTGCAGCCGCATCTTCTTCAGTACATTTGGTCAGGATCCAGTCGCGGACTTTGTTTTTCCAGTTCTCAACGGATTCCTCGTCCATGTCCATGTAGTTTGGGAGCGCTTCCCAAACTTGTTGTTCGAGAGGAGGGAGAGCCTATGACCAAAACTTGTTGAGGGCTCTACCGAGGAGCTCGTCATTGTTCCGGCCAACTTCGAGAGTCACATCGTCGAGGAGAGTCTGAGCAAAGTCCACACACTTGTGTAGGGACATCTGGGTGATGTCCAACTTCTTGAGGTAGACGGAAAAAGTTGAATGGTCGACATCCACCTTGACTCTGAGGCTTTCTCCTTCGATGGGTTCGTATTGCATAGGGAAGACGTGATAGTCGGACATGATGTTGTGCTTGAAATTGAATCGGACTTCTTGATCAAAAATGCCGTGTTCCACAAAAGGCTGAGGACTAACTTAGGCACAGTAGCAATTGAAAGATTGCTAACGAGATGTTATGAGCTTAATGGAGAACTACTTCCCTGGGCAGATGCGATAGCCATACTGACATCAGAAGAGAAGGTGTGTACTGGATACACACAACTTCCACTGCAGCCACCTCATTGCCACATCACTGTTGGCTCGTAGCATAGGTAATAGATGTACTCGACATTTGGTAAGATTGCTTTTGACAAGACTAATGTGAACATGCTGAGTAAGGGGGCGTTTGTAGAAGTACTCATATCAGAGTAATCGATGTTCATTTGACTGATATGATTCGACTAGTTGGACTAGTGGACTAATGTGAGCCACGACAGAAAGTTCTCTGGAACACCCGGCAAATGTTCAGACCAAGTATTTTTGGGACACTGATTGCAAAGTTTGACATGCACGTGCCCGGAGATATAAAATTATATTTTTTAGCTTCAAAAAATCTATGTTATTTCCCTTTAACTATTAATGACATATTATTATGTGATGATTAACCCAACCTTCACAGAAGAGTCACAGAGAAAAATTATGGATGTCTATAGAGATGCACTTCAAAGTGCTTATGTGGACCTTTTGACTAAGGTCTAGTTCTGTACCCAGCCAAAGGAGCTTCTACAGTCCCAATACCTTGGGCCTGTTCTATGGGCCGTTTCACTCTTCCCCTCTATGATCAAAGCTTGTCGTATGATCATAGTATTATCATATCATTCAGCATCAAAGTGTAGTCACAAAGGCGTCCTTACATCCACAGTTCATACGAGAGGTGGTTCTTGACGCAACAGGCAATTCAAACTCATCGCTTGTTAGACTCGATGAAACGGCACAAGACACCGTATATTCAGTCCTTCAAAGACCTGAGGACTCCTGCAAACTTCAACAGTTCCGTAAGTAATTTGATACGGACCTTCCATCTTTGGATCCAATTTGCTTGGATTGAAATTCTTGATCAAAACTTTGCCACCAACGTTGTAGTCAAACTCCTTTTGTTTAGCATTTTGTTGCCGTAGATTTTTGTTGACCATCAATTGTCGCTTTTCTTGTATACTCAAAAGATTGACAATGACAGGAATGTTGAGCAACGTGTCACAAGCAAACACTACTTCACCTGGAGTGTTGTTTTTCAAAGACTGAGAAACAGCACATCTCATGGCATGATTGCATGCTGCGAGAGCATCATCGACGGCTTGTTTAGCTGTCTGAATGTTTGGGGCCATGTTAGTGTTGTTGAATCTTGTTCGTAGAATGTTGCCAACAGTCTGATTCATCCGTTCACAGATAGCATTGGCAGTTGGATTCTTGCTTGCATCGTGAATTCCCCACTGCTGTAGTTTCAACTGAGAATTGTGACAAATGAATTTGCCGCCTTGATCGTGAATACACTTGTAGGGTTTTGGATATCAAGAAAGCCAAAGATTCTCAAAGACATTTGTGACATGGGCTGAAGTTTTGTTCTCAATGCGTGAGAGTTCAGTGAGATTTGTCACGGGATCAATACAAGTGAGCACATTGAATTCAATGTATATACCGTTGACCTTGATTTTCCAAGGTCCAATCAAATCCATGGCCACAGAAAACCACGGGACCAAGTCTGCATGTCTTCCAGGCAGGTGTCCGTATTGAATGATTACATTTTTATTCACTTGGCAAACTTCACATTTGAGGGATTCAACTTTTCTTTTCAAAGCAGGAGCATAGAACCGTCGGACGATTGTATTGTACAAAGAGGTAGTACCTCAATGTCCAAGTACCAAATGATACCATACAATCACTGGAGCAACCAAAGTTTCAGGTAAGTGAATTCTCCATTTGTTAGGTTTATTCAAATCTGTACGGTAGCAGATCACATTCCGATTGTCAATTTGAATGATGGGATATTGAGCCCAAGTTGCTGCATTTTGCGATTTTTGAACGAGAGCAACATCTTGGAGCTGATGTTGTTGAATGTTTGCCATCATGATTGGATTTGGCATAACTTCCAATGGAGGATGATTGAGAAACAATTCAAGCATCTCATCATTTTTGATAGCGCCATGTCCATGATCACCATCTCGACAACAAGCAAACATGCATCTGAAGCTACGATTGAAGAACTCCCTCTTCAAAAGAATACATTTCATCCTCGGGATCCATTTCGACATTGAGTTTGTCAAATGCAATCAATTTACCTTTACAAAGCAAACTCTTCCCCTCTGAAGGGTTCCCCATTTGCGGTAAACGCGAGAAACAGTTGGCCAAAACATTATCTTTACCAGGCAAATAGTTAAATGTAGGCGAAAATTCTTCCATGTACATTCGCCAGCGTAAAACTTGTTGTGTATTCAATGTGCGGAAGGTGAGATTTTTGTGATCTGTAAAAATAGTCAATTGCGTACCGTAAAGAATTGAGCAAAACTCTTTCGAGCAATGCACAATAGCCAACATTTCTTTTTCCATGACAGAATAATTTTTTTTGCGCATCATTGAGTTTGCAACTCCAGTATGCCACTGGCTTTTTGTCTTGCATAATAACGGCGCCCATTTGATAGTCCAAAGCATCAGTATAGAGCTCAAAGGGCTTGTTGTGATTGGGATACCGCATTAAAATATCACTATCCATCAAAGATTTCATTGTTTGGAAAGCTTTATCACATTTGTATGTCCATTGAAATGTGCGTGTTCCAGTGAGAGCTGTCAACGGTTGCAAAAGGTGAGAACGTCGGGGCCACATGTGACAATAGTAGGTCACAGCACCCAAGAAAGGTCGTAGTTCAGTAATGTTGCGAGGTGCATTCATTTTGAGGATGGCATCAACCTTTTTCTTCCAAGGTTTTACACCTTCAGGGGTCAACCAATGGCCCAAGAAATCGGTTTCTTGAACACACCATTTACATTTCAAAGGATTAATCTTGAAACCTGCCTCTTGAAGTGGTTTGACAACAGTCATGATCAAATTTCATATGTTTGTCATAAGAGTTAGAAAAGAGTCCAATATCCTACATCAACACCTTGTTCCTTCAAACCATGCAATGTCTTCTCAATGTAGCAACATCAGGAGCTGGTTTCAATCCCATTGCCACCCGTTGGTACTTCCTTGAGAAAAGCGTGTTGGTGTTTCACAGGAACAGAATAGGCTTTGGAATAAATCAGTAAAGCACCGTCTTCAACTTCCAAATGGATCTTCTTGTATTTGTAGTGTCCAAAGGTGCCATCAAAAAGCTCTTGTGTATTTTCCAATGCAGTTGCCAATTGATCTTGTTGTTGTTTTGTCAAGTGGACTTGCTTGGAAGCAACTTCAGCTCCAGTTGTTGCTTCATACTTTACATCAAGGATGAAAGCATCATCTGCAGTACGACGACTTCTTCAGTCCACCAGAGGAATTATATCAGCACAATCGATCTATTACCGTCTGTATTGATCACATGGAGATCGAGAATGCTAAGTTTCGCACCTGCATTGAAACCGCTGTGCGTTATCGCTCATGTATTCAACACAGAATTGTCGTAGACGTCAAATCAAGCTCTGTAAACAAGGGATTTTCCAAAGGAAAATTGTTGAACTTACTTTTGTGATTGAATCATCAATTCAAGCCAAACATTAATCAAATAGGAACAATTTCACTCAAAGTAATCAATTCGAGATGGAAAGTCGATCGACTTCAATGCAATCGCTCCAAGATTGAACACTCCAACCCAAACTGAAGCTGTTGCAAGAGAAAAAGAGATGGCCCAAAACAAGATTCTCTATTCTGCAAAGCTCGACGAGAACATGCGAAGATCAGCCTATTTTGAGACAAACAAGAGAAGCGTCAAATCAAACATCATGCTGAAGTTTGTGACGAAGGCGATGGATATCAAGCTTTGAGGTGAAGCCAATTTCACGACTACTCTTGAAGATCCAATCGAACTCTTGAAACGTATTGAACGATTCATGAAGAAGAGTGCTGATACTGAGTATGATTTCTTGGATTTCTGGGAAGCGAATCAAAATTTCTTTGCTATGAAGCAAGGAGCAACAGAAAACTTGATGCATTTCAAGGAACAATTCTTGAGACAGGCTGAAGTCCTGCAAGATCTATATGGCGTGGCCTGGTTCCGAGATTTTGCAATCAAGACAAAAGCGTATGCTGCTATTGCTAGCACCGATACTGCTGCTCAAAACAAGTTCAAGGATGATATCTTTGAAGCTGTTCTTGCAACAGGATTTCTATGCAATAGCGATCAAACGAGAACAGCTCCTCTGATGCTGGATCTTCAGACGAACTATTGCAGAGAAGTGAATTATTATCGAAAGACGGTCAGCAAAGCACAAGATATGTTGAAGATTCACATTGATGTGAGTAAAAATCCGGGAGTGAACCTCTACCAAGGAAAAGACCAACCTAATAAAGGTAAAGGTAAAGGAAAAGGAAAGAAGAAATCAAAGGATGGAAAGAAGGCAGCATGTTATGTGTGTGGCAACGAAGACCATGTGTCTCCAAAATGCCCAGACAGACTGCTACCAAAGATCCAATGGAAGAATCAGGACCAATATGTCGACTCTGCGAAGAAGCTCAATAATAATAATAATAATAACTGAGACATTAATTGTTAGTATGCTACTCTGTGGACATTCGATTGCCGGTGAGATTTTCAGCTTCAAAGGTCAAGTACTGGGAAGCGGTGAGTCAACAACAAGTTTGAACCATGTGAGGCATCTGTATTTTGAACAGAAGTTGCTCAAGTCTCCCAAGGGGGTAAAGACTTCTCCCACAACGTGGCGGGGTGAGTTTGGGGCATATAAGGTCCCGCAAAAAGTTGGTCAGGGTCCAAAGGAGAAAATAGTCCGCAGACTGCGGCGTTGTGCTTTCATGGAGCGACGGAAATCTCTTTGTTCCTGACGAAGCAACTTAAGCCACTCTTCCTTGTCTACGACCAAGGGCTTGCAAAGGACTCGTCGACGACTTGTTAGCATTGGTCGCATTTCCTTAGGCAAGTCATCGGGACCCATATCAAACTGTGAGTGAATCCCCTCATTGACAATACTGTGACGTTCACGTAATTGTACGTTATCATCCGAATGTTGAATGGAGTTCTGTTGCTCCCACATGTAGAAGCCGATCGAGATCAGCTGTTGTGAGAGGCGGGACGCCCAAAGAGAGACAGATCGTCGACATCTTATCTTGTCATAATGTTGTTGTTGGAGTGGAAGCCAAGACGAGGCGATGCGTCCTTCCAAAAGGCCTTGGGACCCAATCACTTGCTGAGCCAAGAAGGCCGGCCAAACCGAAGAGGAGATGGTCCTTGGAGGAAATGAAGGAGGTGTTAGAACGCCCTGAAGAAGCTGTAGGATCGCTGTTTTAATGGAAGGGCCCGTCAGTTGCAGGTCAAGCCACGCGGAGAAGGCTGCAGTGCAGCGATCCCATTCAGCCGTGGCCAAAGCGGCGCGGCAGCGGGGAACATCCTCGAAGTTGCCGCAGCGTGGGCAAGCTGCTGATGTCTCCAGACCCCATAGAACTTGAAATTTGCCTGTGCCGCACATGCCCACACAATGTTTAGTAGACCACCTTTGTAGTCCTGCAGGAGGAGATTGCATGGCGCGACCCAATGTGTCCCAGGCAATCTTGGACTCGGCTTCAGCGGAGATAGTACCTTTGTCCCTCCAGCGCGAGCGGAGGGCAGGAAGAGTCACACACTCTTGGATGAACCGGGGATGAAGGCGTGACTGTTTGGTGTCTGCCACGTACATTGCCGCAAGTTCAGTGAAGAAGCGAGGGTTGGGAGCTATAAGATGATTGGCCATCTCAAATTCCTTACGGTACTCCACTGCCATTCCATCCACCTCAAGGTTCCGTTTCTCCCACCAAGAAAGTTCATCAAAGAGATTGGACTTGTCGAGGTGACCATGCCGTGCCTGGCAAACACGAACCAACTATTGAGTGCAGCAATCAAACATTGAAAGGATTATTCTGAGCACACTATCATCCAATGGTGTTCAAGGCAATTCCCAAGGTATTGATTATTGCTTTACTCAAGCATGTGACAAAGGTTAGTAACTTTTATCCTGCAAAGGAGGGAATTTCAAAATATTACAGTCCACATATGATTGTGAGACAAAACCAGTGGATTTTTCAAAAGAACGTGTTTCTGAAATTGGATCCTTTGTACAAGGAGATGGTCACACGGCCAACAACAGTCAACGATCAAGAACAATTGATGGTAATTATTATGGAGGAAGATGTTAATATCTCTGAAGAGATGTATGGACCAAGCGTTTCAACAATTAAGGGCAAACAAAAGCGAACAACACCAAAGGCGGTGGTTGATGATTGGATCAAAATGCCCATAGAACTCCTGAAACACAATTTGAACCTGGATTTATGCATCTACAATATGTTTATCATCAATATTTCTCTTTTTTTTGTCTGTATTGACAAAGCGATCAAATTCCGATTCTGTACTGAATTGAAAGATCGGACAAAGATGCTATTTACAAGTCAATTGACAAAATTCTACGCATTTACAATCATGGGGAATTTTGAATCAAAACTATTTATTGCGAAAAGGTTTTCAAACCGGTATTTGATGATGTGAAAGATAACATGGGCGTGACCATGAATTATGCCGTGCCTGGCAAACACAAACCAACTATTGAGTGCAGCAATCAAACATTGAAAGGATTATTCTGAGCACACTATCATCCAATGGTGTTCAAGGCAATTCCCAAGGTATTGAGTATTGCTTTACTCAAACATGTGGCAAAGGTTAGTAACTTTCATCCTGCAAAGGAGGGAATTTCAAAATATTACAGTCCACATATGATTGTGAGACAAAACCGGTGGATTTTTCAAAAGAACGTGTTTCTGAAATTGGATCCTTTGTACAAGGATATGGTCACACAGCCAACAACAGTCAACCATCAAGAACAATTGATGGTAATTATTATGGAGGAAGATGTTAATATCTCTGAAGAGATGTATGGACCAAGCGTTTCAACAATTAAGGGCAAACAAAAGCGAACAACACCAAAGGCGATGGTTGATGATTGGATCAAAATGCCCATAGAACTCCTGAAACACAATTTGAGCCTGGATTTATGCATCTACAATATGTTTATCATCAATATTTCTCTTTTTTTTTGTCTGTATTGACAAAGCGATCAAATTCCGATTCTGTACTGAATTGAAAGATCGGACAAAAATGCTATTTACAAGTCAATTGGCAAGATTCTACGCATTTACAATCATGGGGAATTTTGAATCAAAACTATTTATTGCGAAAAGGTTTTCAAACCGGTATTTGATGATGTGAAAGATAACATGGACGTGACCATGAATTATGCCGTGCCTGGCAAACACGAACCAACTATTGAAAGGATTATTCTGAGCATACTATCATCGAATGGTGTTCAAGGCAATTCCCAAGGTATTGATTATTGCTTTACTCAAGCATGTGACAAAGGTTAGTAACTTTTATCCTGCAAAGGAGGGAATTTCAAAATATTACAGTCCACATATGATTGTGAGACAAAACCAGTGGATTTTTCAAAAAAAATTTGTTGCTGAAATTGGATCCTTTGTACAAGGAGATGGTCACACGGCCAACAACAGTCAACGATCAAGAACAATTGATGGTAATTATTATGGAGGAAGATGTTAATATCTCTGAAGAGATATATGGACCAAGCGTTTCAACAATTAAGGGCAAACAAAGGCAAACAACACCAAAGAAGTGGTTGATGATTGGATCAAAATGCCCATAGAACTCCTGAAACACAATTTGAACCTGGATTTATGCATCTACAATATGTTTATCATCAATATTTCTCTTTTTTTTGTCTGTATTGACAAAGCGATCAAATTCCGATTCTGTACTGAATTGAAAGATCGGACAAAGATGCTATTTACAAGTCAATTGACAAAATTCTACGCATTTACAATCATGGGGAATTTTGAATCAAAACTATTTATTGCGAAAAGGTTTTCAAACCAGTATTTGATGATGTGAAAGATAACATGGCCGTGACCATGAACTATGCCGTGCCTGGCAAACACGAACCAACTATTGAGTGCAGCAATCAAACATTGAAAGGATTATTCTGAGCACACTATCATCCAATGGTGTACAAGGCAATTCCCAAGGTTTTGACTATTGCTTTAATCAAGCATGTGACAAAGGTTAGTAACTTTTATCCTGCAAAGGAGGAAATTTCGAAATATTACAGTCCAGACATGATTGTGAGACGAAAACCGGTAGATTTTTCAAAAGAATGTGTTGCTGAAATTGGATCCTTTGTACAAGGATATGGTCACACGACCAACAACAGTCAAGAACCATTGATGGTATTTATCTTGGAGTAAATGACAGCATACAAGCGGGACATATGTTACTTGATCTTAATACAAAAAAGGCAGGTTTTCAAACCGGTATTTGATGATGTGAAAGATAACATGGACATGACCATGAATTATGCCGTGCCTGGCAAACACGAACCAACTATTGAGTGCAGCAATCAAACATTGAAAGGATTATTCTGAGCACACTATCATCCAATGGTGTTCAAGGCAATTCCCAAGGTATTGATTATTGCTTTACTCAAGCATGTGACAAAGGTTAGTAACTTTCATCCTGCAAAGAAGGGAATTTCAAAATATTACAGTCCACATATGATTGTGAGACAAAATCGGTGGATTTATCATCAATATTTCTCTTTTTTTGTCTGTATTGACAAAGCGATCAAATTCCGATTCTGTACTGAATTGAAAGATCGGACAAAGATGCTATTTACAAGTCAATTGACAAAATTCTACGCATTTACAATCATGGGGAATTTTGAATCAAAACTATTTATTGCGAAAAGGTTTTCAAACCAGTATTTGATGATGTGAAAGATAACATGGCCGTGACCATGAACTATGCCGTGCCTGGCAAACACGAACCAACTATTGAGTGCAGCAATCAAACATTGAAAGGATTATTCTGAGCACACTATCATCCAATGGTGTACAAGGCAATTCCCAAGGTTTTGACTATTGCTTTAATCAAGCATGTGACAAAGGTTAGTAACTTTTATCCTGCAAAGGAGGAAATTTCGAAATATTACAGTCCAGACATGATTGTGAGACGAAAACCGGTAGATTTTTCAAAAGAATGTGTTGCTGAAATTGGATCCTTTGTACAAGGATATGGTCACACGACCAACAACAGTCAAGAACCATTGATGGTATTTATCTTGGAGTAAATGACAGCATACAAGCGGGACATATGTTACTTGATCTTAATACAAAAAAGGCAGGTTTTCAAACCGGTATTTGATGATGTGAAAGATAACATGGACATGACCATGAATTATGCCGTGCCTGGCAAACACGAACCAACTATTGAGTGCAGCAATCAAACATTGAAAGGATTATTCTGAGCACACTATCATCCAATGGTGTTCAAGGCAATTCCCAAGGTATTGATTATTGCTTTACTCAAGCATGTGACAAAGGTTAGTAACTTTCATCCTGCAAAGAAGGGAATTTCAAAATATTACAGTCCACATATGATTGTGAGACAAAATCGGTGGATTTATCATCAATATTTCTCTTTTTTTGTCTGTATTGACAAAGCGATCAAATTCCGATTCTGTACTGAATTGAAAGATCGGACAAAGATGCTATTTACAAGTCAATTGACAAAATTCTACGCATTTACAATCATGGGGAATTTTGAATCAAAACTATTTATTGCGAAAAGGTTTTCAAACCAGTATTTGATGATGTGAAAGATAACATGGCCGTGACCATGAACTATGCCGTGCCTGGCAAACACGAACCAACTATTGAGTGCAGCAATCAAACATTGAAAGGATTATTCTGAGCACACTATCATCCAATGGTGTACAAGGCAATTCCCAAGGTTTTGACTATTGCTTTAATCAAGCATGTGACAAAGGTTAGTAACTTTTATCCTGCAAAGGAGGAAATTTCGAAATATTACAGTCCAGACATGATTGTGAGACGAAAACCGGTAGATTTTTCAAAAGAATGTGTTGCTGAAATTGGATCCTTTGTACAAGGATATGGTCACACGACCAACAACAGTCAAGAACCATTGATGGTATTTATCTTGGAGTAAATGACAGCATACAAGCGGGACATATGTTACTTGATCTTAATACAAAAAAGGCAGGTTTTCAAACCGGTATTTGATGATGTGAAAGATAACATGGACATGACCATGAATTATGCCGTGCCTGGCAAACACGAACCAACTATTGAGTGCAGCAATCAAACATTGAAAGGATTATTCTGAGCACACTATCATCCAATGGTGTTCAAGGCAATTCCCAAGGTATTGATTATTGCTTTACTCAAGCATGTGACAAAGGTTAGTAACTTTCATCCTGCAAAGAAGGGAATTTCAAAATATTACAGTCCACATATGATTGTGAGACAAAATCGGTGGATTTATCATCAATATTTCTCTTTTTTTGTCTGTATTGACAAAGCGATCAAATTCCGATTCTGTACTGAATTGAAAGATCGGACAAAGATGCTATTTACAAGTCAATTGACAAAATTCTACGCATTTACAATCATGGGGAATTTTGAATCAAAACTATTTATTGCGAAAAGGTTTTCAAACCAGTATTTGATGATGTGAAAGATAACATGGCCGTGACCATGAACTATGCCGTGCCTGGCAAACACGAACCAACTATTGAGTGCAGCAATCAAACATTGAAAGGATTATTCTGAGCACACTATCATCCAATGGTGTACAAGGCAATTCCCAAGGTTTTGACTATTGCTTTAATCAAGCATGTGACAAAGGTTAGTAACTTTTATCCTGCAAAGGAGGAAATTTCGAAATATTACAGTCCAGACATGATTGTGAGACGAAAACCGGTAGATTTTTCAAAAGAATGTGTTGCTGAAATTGGATCCTTTGTACAAGGATATGGTCACACGACCAACAACAGTCAAGAACCATTGATGGTATTTATCTTGGAGTAAATGACAGCATACAAGCGGGACATATGTTACTTGATCTTAATACAAAAAAGGCAGGTTTTCAAACCGGTATTTGATGATGTGAAAGATAACATGGACATGACCATGAATTATGCCGTGCCTGGCAAACACGAACCAACTATTGAGTGCAGCAATCAAACATTGAAAGGATTATTCTGAGCACACTATCATCCAATGGTGTTCAAGGCAATTCCCAAGGTATTGATTATTGCTTTACTCAAGCATGTGACAAAGGTTAGTAACTTTTATCCTGCAAAGGAGGGAATTTCAAAATATTACAGTCCACATATGATTGTGAGACAAAACCGGTGGATTTTTCAAAAGAATGTGTTGCTGAAATTGGATCCTTTGTACAAGGATATGGTCACATGACCAACAACAGTCAACAATCAAGAGCGATTGATGGTAATTATTATGGAGGAAGATGTTGATATCTCTGAAGAGATATATGGACCAAGCGTTTCAACAATTAAGGGCAAACAAAAGCAAACAACACCAAAGGCGGTGGTTGATGATTGGATCAAAATGCCCATAGAACTCCTGACACACAATTTGAACCTGGATTTATGCATCTACAATATGTTTATCATCAATGTTGCGTTATTTGTCTGTATTGGAAGAACATGTCCATATTTGCTTTATACGCCACGACAGCTGGTGAGAGCTGATGAAGATGGCTTCCAGAAGATATATTTTGTACCTTTTTGTGGAGATCATTGTTGATTGACTTCTGGCAAGAATAGCAGTAGAATAAGACCTAATAGGAAGTGGTGAGACTTTTCATCCGTAGGTAGAAACCCATCATCACTGGCACCTGTTCCTATTGTAGGCAATCCATAGCCAACGTAGATTTGAGCTCAGATTTACTCCAGAGGTAGCTAGAGCGTTGAGGCTCTCATTACAGCTATGGAGTTGATTATCTGACAACCCATCACAATGATGCAAAACCTTTCAAGATTATTGCAACAGAAGATTGAATCCAAAAAGAAGAAATGCATGGTTGGTACCCATCACAAGGACGATTCAAAACCTTTCAAGAAGTATTGTAACGACCAGGAGGAAAACAAGATGGACAAAGACAAGTACCACAAGCGCGTGGCACAACATGCAAAGACGGCCAAGCCAACCAAAATTTGCTTGCTCAAGCCCAACCACAAGAATCACACTATCTCCAAGTGTAAGGCAATCAACAGCTACAAGGCTCAAATGAGCAACAAGAAGTCCAACAGCTTTGCTGTCATCAATCTCTCTGGAGATAAGCCAGATGATGATTCAACCACCTCTAAAGAGACTGACTCATCCAACAAGAATGCTTGAACAACATTGTTGATTCAAACATTCTAGACAATCTTAGGTTATCATATATGTCAAACATAAAAGACACGTACAAAAATGGTGCAGAAGTCCCCAAAACTATCAGTGAAAAAGTAGACATTAGTAAAGAATTAAACTTATTGCTTAGACCAGAACCTGTTTCTGTTATAACGATGATGCAAAAAACTTGTGTCAACAAACTTGCACATTGTTGTTTGATCCTGGATCAGATGAATCTTACATACATTGTAGAAAAACCGTGAAGAAAAAAATTGGAACAATACCTGGCAAAGAATCTTTGACCACGCAAGTCATAAATATTAAGGGAATTGTTTTTCCTGAGTTTCCTCCCACACAAAAGGTGGAACCCATGTTTGAAACAGTTGTTTTTGATTCAATTATTGGAAATAATATTTTGCTTCCTCTTGGAATCAATTGTTGCAGATCTACCAAAACAAGCACATCTCTTATAAGCTAACCAAATTAGGCCTCAGTCCTCAGACTACTGATCCAAACAAAGTTACATCCACGTTGATGACACAATTGATGGCAACCCATTGCTATCATTCAGATCCTGATGAAAGTCTCAATGAACATATTGAGCGACAGATATCTCATTCCTTTAATATTGCCAAATCCAAATATGATTTAATTCCCTTGGAACATGTTGCCAAGCAACAACAATATCTAAATGATAAACAACAAAACAATCTTTACAATATTATAAAAGACGTCAGACCCTTGTTCAATGGTAACCTTGTTTGTTCCGTCAAGCTTGGCCCTTTCAAAGGTCCTAAAGCACATCTTAAACTTACTTCCAAAGCCAAACCCTTTCAGAACCGTCCATACTTGGTCCCCAAGAGTCATGAAGCTGTCTTCAAGAAAACTATTGATGAAATGGTTCAATGGGGAATTTTCGAAAATGCGGCCCAATGGACTACTTATCTCCCTCCTTTATTGTTCCAAAAAAGGATGGTAGAGTTAGATTTGTTTTCAATTCTTGACAACTGAATAAGATGATCAAGCGCAAAGTTTTGCTACTGCCAAGAATACAAGATATTCTAAAGAAAAGAAATGGCTACAAGTATTTCACAAAGCTTGACCATTTGATGTTTTTCTACACCTTTGAAATGGACAAAGCGTCCAAGGACCTATGTGGCATTGTCACACCCTTTGATAACTATCGTTACACACGTCTTCCTATGGGTTGGAGTCCGTTGAGTCGGCTCCAGCCTTTTCTGCACCATAGAATTCGGGCCAACCTCCTACTGAAGTGGTTGTGGGGAAGTCACCTGCCCCAGCTCAGCGGGCCAACGACCCCTTGGCAACAGTATTGATCGACTCTTGTTTGTCGAAGACTGAGCCTCCCAACCCTCCTCGACCTTCAGCTCCTCTGTCCGTGAAGAAGCAACTTACTTATGTTGCCGCCTCACAGAAGAAGGCTGCTATTCAGACCAAGTACCTCTCTGAAGAAATGAAAGCCCGTGAAGTGACACAGATGAATTTGACTGGGCTTCCGCGCTCAAACGCCCAGTTCCTCTGCGCTACAATCAACTATGAATGGGATGGCGACACATCTGAGGGTGGTTCTATTGAAAAGTGTTTCACTGAAGAAATGGTCTCGGTTCTGTCTATGGCTATGGACAACGCTGAGGGCGACTTGGTCATTCTTCCGGTGAGCGAACTCCGTGTACGGGACAAGAAGTTGTGGCTGACCTCTAAGGAGAAAGTGGAGGAGCTCACCTACAAGAAGCTCAAGCCCTACATTGACTGGTCCTGGAATAATGGCGCCCGATTTGGCTACAACGCTAAGAACCCCGGCTCCAAGACTCTTTGCACCCGCATTCGCGTCGCCCACAACTCTTCTCTGGACGACATGTCCCGACTCCTGGGTTAATGTTTTGAGATCACCGGCATTAGTGATCCTGTCCAAATCGGTTGCTACTGAATGACCCCATGGGGATTGGGAGAGCCGCACTGGAACGCGAGCTCATGCGTCACTTCACCTTCAAGAGAGCTATAGCCCTAGAACCTGCGTGGCCACAGAACCCCGGTACGACGGGCCAAAAATGGATGCCCTCCAAGGGTCCAAAAGCGTGGCACATTTGGGTAGCTGCTTCTGATGTGGATAGAGTGGCACGGGCCCTCTTTGCATGGCTCAGGCCAGAGACAAAGAAGTGTCACATGCCGTTTGGTGCCCGGACTCACTTTGTCTATGACTGGGGGGCCAGTACAAAGGGACACCTAGGTGACCTCGCGCAACCAGGGGGACAGTGGAATGGCATCATTGGGAAACTCATCAACACCCATAACACTACCTCCCAGACCTGCACCTCCCTGGCTCCACTGTTTCCTATCCAAGGCATGCTGACCAAGGTCTTCATTCTCAAGTACTGCAAACAGGGCAAGGGCAAATCCCTCCTTCAATTTCTCTACGCGATTCAGTGCATTCCAGCGGTCAAGAAACCTCCCCCTGCTCACCCCGAACAATCCGCCACACTGGATGCCGACACTCCAGATTCTCCGTTGCCACCTTCCATGTCTTCTACTCCTCCAGACCTGCCACCGACCAACCCAAGTGTAACTGCCCCCACCACAGCTCAGCCAACTCTACCCGCCTCATCCACCAAGCGTTCCAGTCGCAAGGGGTCTAAGAATCGCCGGGCCAAGCAACCTCTTGAGAAACCTACGGAGACGCCTCAGGCTACTCCCCCCACCCCTCTTCCACGGCCCACTCCGGCACTGAAGTCTCCACCCCAGGCAGCAACCGACCCTTCCACAGGGTCTTCCAATCGGGCGAAACTTTCTGCATCTGAACAGCCCCTGGTCACTGAGGCATTTGATCGCAGCGCATGGCTGGCGGCAATGGATGCGGAACTGAACCAGGGCCCAGCCGGTCTCTTCCAAATGATTCTACCAGGCTCAATTGATAGCTTCTATGTGTTTGTGGTGCGCCAAAAGTTTGCCTCATTGGCACAGGAAGTTCTCAAGAACCTGGCGGCCTTCCTTATTTCTCACCTTGAGTTGTGGCAGGACCTGAAGCACCAGTGGAAGACATGCCGCACCTGGCTCTGCTTGGACCACTACAATCGAACGGTTACCAACGCTATGACCTGGGACCAAAGCCAACATTGTGCAATCTTGGAGTATGAGCGGGACGTCGATTTGGACCAGCAAGTGGATAAGGAATATAATGAGTGGGTTGAGAAGCTCCTCGCGGCAGAGCAGGCTTCTCTGGAATTTGAGGGCACCATCACAATTGACCTGTCGATGCCAGCTGCAAAGGACATGGATGACGGGGCTACGGTAGGCAGCGCGGCAAATATGGCAGCACTATTGGAGAACATGAAAACGGATGTCAACAACCTTTGCACGGAATGAGAGACTGCGGGGGAATAACTGGCTCAAGCTATGGATGCGGAGGCTGCCAAGGATGCTCGTATCCTTGAATTGGAGGCCAAAATGGCGGAACAAGCATCGGTCACAGGCAAGCACCGTTCTTCAAGCCCCTCCTCCAGCAAGGCAACATCATCGGCTGACAGTGGGGGTGCCGCCCCCCCCCCCCGGCGGTGGTCCCTAACCACCAACGGTCCCGTCACGCAAGGTTGCGGCATGTGACGGAAAGCCAAGGTCAAAATCTACGCAACCTACACACATCCAGCCAGGTGGCCCACTCCTTGCTGGATGCTTATTTAAACTATCTCCCTCCTGGTAACTACTTTGGCAATGACTCACGCCAGAAGTCTCCTTGCGTTACCCGGGTCCTTTTTCAAAATGTTCAGGGTCTTCCATTTCCTGTGACACATGAGATACAGAAAGGGCTCTTCAAGTGTTGGACGGATGAGAGAGTGGGCATTGCACTGCTGGCTGAAGTTAACCTTCAATGGTCAGTAGTGCCCAGAGGACACAAGTGGTTTGACCGGGTCAAGTCCTTCACTAACCAGGGACATTTCTCTTCAGTGTCTTACTACGAACACCAGGAGTTTCCAACTCCCTCGGCACATCAATGGGGCGGATGTTCTGCTACATTACTCCACAAGGTTGCGCGCCGTGCAAAGTCAGGCGGCAAAGATGAGTCAGGGCTAGGCAGGTTCTCTTGGATCAAGATCCGGGGCAGGGACATCCGACAACAGGAGTCCCAGACCGATGGGCCCCTGGCTGGTCCTTTAGATCTTGTGGTGGTCTCTGCATATCGTCCAAACAAGGAAGGTACCAATGCTGGTAGTGTTTGGAACTACCAACGGAATCACTGGCTGAGCAAGGGGGTGACTATGGATACCCGTGACAAGCTCACACTGGATTTGGTGGACCTGATCGAACAATGGAAAGCCGAAGGGTGCGAGATTCTCCTTGGGTTAGATATGTCTCCTACAACTCTCCCTCTTCCTTCCGCCAAGAGATGCGGTCTGAAGGCCTGACCGAGGCCATCTTACGCCGACACCAGGGTGTTGGGATATGACAAAATATGAGTTTTTACGTTCCAAAAAGAAACTATTCAAGTACAAAGTTTTTGACACGTACGATCGGATGCCGGACGCAAGTCTGTCGGACAATCTACATCCACACAAAAAGGGAATGACCCTATACAAGTGGGATATCGATGTTGTGTACAATGCAGTAGGAAATAATACAAGATGTCCCAAAGTACTGCATCCAACACAGAATTGTCGTAGAGGTCGAATCAAGTTCTGTGAACAAGGGATTTTCCAAGGGAAAATCGTTGAACTTACTTTTGTGATTGAATCATCAA